AAAGAGTGCTGGGTCTAGATGACCCCAAATGTTAAAATGCGAGTCTTAAAGGTGCCTCAGGTCAGGCCTCCCAAAATTGCAGCAATCCAAATTACTTCACAGTTTTAAAAACCATGGCTGAAGTGTAGCAAGATCCCATAACATTTCATGTATGTTGAAACATGGGTTCCTGTCTCCAGCCCCCAAACCTAAGAGGATATGCAGGAGAGTACCGAGTCTGTGCCACATTCTTGACCTGCTTACAATGTGGCATGATAAAGAAAAAAGCTGCAGTCCTTCTGCAAAAGTATAATAAATAAAACCAGGTTCAGCTCAGATGCAAACTTACTCAGGCAACATACAGATCTTTCCAAGCACAGTACTTGTCAGTAAATGTTGGTATATTTGCAATAGGACTTGTGTAAGGTTATTTTCATTTTTCTCTTACCTTGACAAATGCTATTGTCTGCTGTGCCACTCATGTGGAAACCTGCCTCACAGCTACAGTGCTGTGTCCTGTCAATTTTGGCACAGCGTGGCTTACGACTGAAAGCAGGGTCATTTGTAACACTCCATGAAGGTGGCGCTGAGAGAGATGAAAGGAAACTTTAAAGGGCTTAAAGACAACTGGTTTAAAGGCCTATGTTAACATTTTCTAAAGTGTCTAAGTCACCTAGGATTTTCAGACAAGATTTTTATACATATAAAGTGCCTAGAGATGAAGGAATGCACCTTGTACAGTAAGCACCTCCCTGAATCTATAGGTACCCAAATCCCTCTAAATATGTGACCCATAAGAGTTTCAGTCTCAGTGATAGCCACTGAGGCTTAAACTTGTAAGGCCCTGATCCTCAAAGGGATTGGTACCATTAGACATTTTTACATGTGGTTTGGGACGCAGCATGGGGTGCTTTAATTAGCAAGCTGCGCTAATTAAAAGTGCCTACGTGTCACATGTATCAGTGTCCCCATGTGTTCCCATGATGAAAAAATGGTGGCTGGGTGCTTTGAACTAAAGCTCATTGAACGTGTTTTATTTCAAAGCCCCCTGCTGCCATTTTTTCA